ATGCTGGCCTTGAGGGTCTGTCCCAAAATCTGCAGTCCTTTGGAGTGTCGTGACAACTTGAAGATCCTGAACACCCTGACCAGACGGATCACCCTGAGAATGGCCAGAGATGTTGCCTGCTCACCCACTCCCTCTTTTTCTGGGTCTTCAGCCAGCTCAGTGCCAAGTGTTATGAAGTATGGGATGATAGCCACTATGTCGATCATGTTCATCATGTTCTTGAAGAAGGCTGGCTTGCTTGGGCATGCAAGAAAGCGAACAATCAACTCAAAAGAGAACCAGATTATACAGAGTGTCTCAATGACGAAGAAGGGGTCAGTGAGGATATTTGGCTTGTAATAAACAGTAGTATTTCCAACTGTCACCATGCGGCCCATTGGGTCCTCTTTTAGTTGAGGTAAAGTCTCTAAACAAAATATGACTATTGAAATCAGGATCACCATCACAGACACTATGGCAACCCCTCTCGCAGTGCTTGAGCTCTCTGGATGCTCAAAGAGCAGCCAAATCTGACGCTGAAACTCTTTCTCAGGTAGAGGACGCTCTTCCTCCCTGATGAAACCCTCATCTTCACGAAACTTCTCCATGGCGTCCACTCCCAGCTCATAAAATTTGATTTCTTCTGAGAACATATCCAAAGGGACATTAACTGGTCTTCTCAGCCGCCCCCCAGACTGGTAGTAGTAGAGAATGGCATCGAAACTGGGACGGTTTCTGTCAAAGAAGTACTCGTTTCTCAGGGGGTCAAAGTACCTCATCCGTTTTTTAGGGTTGCCCAGCAACGTTTCTGGGAACTGGGAGAGAGTTTTCAACTGTGTCTCAAACCGGAGACCAGCTATGTTGATGACCACCCTTTCACAACATTCATGGTCATTGTTGTCTGGGGGGTAGGTGTCCTGAGGGTGGCCAGGGACAGCCGAGGCCTCATCCATGTTATCTCCTGCTACCACTGTCATTTTGGAAGGAGGAGGAGGAGGAGGAGGAGGTGGTGGTGGAAGAGGAAGAGGAAGAGGATCTTTGTTGGGATGTTGATAAGTCTGACTAAGCAGGCATTCAGGTTGAGGGAAATTTTCCTCTCCTCAGCTTCCCACACCCCTTAAATTGTTGGAGACGTCCCCAGATTTGAGGGGGGCTGGCTGGCTGCTTTGCCTCAGTGCGGCTCCACTGCAGTTCTCGCTGACTTGACCATTGCTGCTCTCCGATGCATCTGCTGTTGTTACTGCTGCCTCTGTCACCCAGAGAGGGAGAGGAGGAGAAAGAGAGAGAGGAAATAATGGGATCAAACAGCCAAGAAATGTGATGGCTCAGCATTTTCTGCAGATTATTTATTTATTTACTTCCCTCAGCCGTCAATTAGTGCTGTTTTCCAGCAGTGAATGTTAAAACCAACATCCCAATTGGGTATTTCTGCAACGTTTCTTTGAAATAAGAATAAACAACCATTCTGTAGTGCCAAATAGTAAGTGTATGATGATCTTCTGATACTACATGGGCTTACCACACTAACATCCTAAAGTGATTTCCCTGTATCTCTATAACACTCCTGATGTTTCTGTGCAGATGTTTACCTCCCATTAAACATAAATGTGTGGTTCTGTGTCTTAAAGGTGCATGGCAGTGGTCCATCCTATGGCACTCCAGCCTGAGTTATGATATGACGCATAGCATTTGATACTGATACCAAATCATGTTTCTACATGCACACAGTCTATTGGCCCACTGCATGGCAAAAGATAATACATACATCTGCGAAATAGAGGAGTAATGCAGTAATTGTCCACAGCTGCTTTTTAAACGAATGACCGATATGCATTGCATATTGCATAAGTCAGCGTCTTCGAGGCTTACCGTGAGTTACTCTTGCAGGTCTTGAATGCGTCTTATCCTTGAGTGAAATCATCCAACAGCAGGGCACCAGTGGGTGTCATGAGGCAACTTTACATTGCAGTAAAAAACACAGAAATCCCTAGCCTTACTGTGCTCATCGCCATTCTAACTGAAGTGTCCTCAGATCTAAACATCTTCACGCAAGATGAGATAAAACAGGACCAAAAACATGAGAGTGTAATGTGGAAGCCTGAGCTGGAAAAGCTTCAGCTCCGGGACTTCCTCACGCGGCAGCACGTTGGTGTGAGCAGCTTACAGTATACTGCAGGAGAAATCTTGCGCTGCAATTCAGGAGGGGGAGATACAGTACGGGGCAATAAGCGAGCTCCTGGCATTTCAAGACATCACTGCATCAGCAGGAATCTGCCGCTTTCTGTGAGTAGACAAGATGACGCGCAGAATGTGTTTTAGCGTGACTCGGAAAGCGGAATAAAAAACAAAAGCTATTTCAGAGACATTCGAGTGCAGCAGCGTGGTCCAAATGTTTTCCCCACAACGTCAAGCAAGTTTTGCTGTGTATTTTACACGCAAGTGCAGCGAAGGTATGGGAATGAGAATGGGAGGGGGGTGGGGGATGGGGCGGAGGAGGAGGAGGAGTTGGAGGGTTTCGACGCAATGCAGACCGGCTCTACTAAAGCACACCGCCAGAAGTTCTCCATACACCACAAAAACAAGAGCGCTCGTGTGCCAGCACTGGCGCAATCACACTGCAAAGAAGGACAGTGGGTAACAAGAACCTTAAATTCACCATTTAGGACATTCGAGACATCTGTATGCAGAAAACGAGCCTATCAAAAATATGAAAGACTTAATCACACTTTCGTCCCATACAGGATTAAGGAGTGTTAAACAAGCGTTAGTTGGAAGTGACAAACAGAACACAATCTCTACATCACTTAAGACCAGATTTGATTTATTATATGAAGCATCTTTGATAGTGTGAAATCAGAATGATCATCTCCCCTCGGCTGTGAAAGATCACATCATGGGAAGCTTGTAGTCCCACATCCAATTTATAATGCTTTATTCTGACAAAGTTATAATATTTTTGGTCTACACTTATTGCTTGATATGGCTGCAGGAGCCAACATACAATTGCAGGAATTTTTGGCATTAAAAAGGCTCTGCAGATGGAGGATCAAATTCAGCACCAAGGACAGCGCAGGTGATTGATTTACCTCATAAAAACTACAGAACAAACATCGAAAGTAATCCACCCATTGATATAAAGTAATGTTAGAAATTAGCAAATAAAAATAACATCCAATTTATAATGCTTATTCTGACAAAGTTATAATATTTTTGGTCTACACTTATTGCTTGATATGGCTGCAGGAGCCAACATACAATTGCAGGAATTTTTGGCATTAAAAAGGCTCTGCAGATGGAGGATCAAATTCAGCACCAAGGACAGCGCAGGTGATTGATTTACCTCATAAAAACTACAGAACAAACATCGAAAGTAATCCACCCATTGATATAAAGTAATGTTAGAAATTAGCAAATAAAAAACAACACTATTGCTCATTTGCGTACCATAAGTGCCTGTATGTATGTGTTTGTGTGCGTCTCAGGGCCCAAAAACAGACATGGGGCAGAACTGTAAGGACTCAAAATGACTATTTCTACAACTTTCTCAAACACACACAATCAACACAAAGTCAGGTCATCAGTATTCTTTCTAATTTGTTAAAACGAGCAACACATACAGAACATCCCATTTCATTTATCACCGTGGCATTTTATTAAGTTAATTGGGTCCACGGCAGGACAGCCCAATGTCTGCTTCTGCGCCTTTTTCAATCATTCAGCACCAAAAGTGATAGAGTGGATTGAGTTAATGAATGAGCAGGGATTTTAAATTCTTACACAAATGATTAACATTGTTTGCTTTCTGTGAGTCTGATCTAAGTGAAAACCAGTGAGTGGTATGTTTACTAATTCATAATTTATTTATAAAAATATTTAAGTTCACATACATGTTTAAATTAGAAAAATAAATATTTTATTACATTAATTCACAATAAATCCTTGTCATGCAGACATTGCATAATGTTCAAAGCTATATTACAGCAAGCTGCAAATAAAAGACACATGAAGTTGCCATTCCCACTTCACATAATAAGCTGCATAAGAAAAGAGAAACGTCAGATTAACCATAACTCAGTATACACAAGGCTTTTATACAAAGAAAGTGTGGTCATCATAAAGCCTGCATATAAGAATGTTGTTTGATTTTCTACTCATGACACACACAATGTCCACCAAGGCAACTTTCACATTCCTTAAGTCTCTGTAAGCTACAACGCTGGCAGTGCATATATGTTAGAAAATGATCAAATATTTTGTCGAAAAAAGTCAATCCCACACTTGTATTTTGTCGCAAAAAAAGGAACAAGCTTGCCTTAATCTTCTGCCTCCTGCAAGTTAGCAGAAAACAAAACTCACTTTATTAACATTAAGGGGTCAGAGAAAGTAGCCAGGCTGCTGCTGAGCTTATTGATAACAATCACAAGCATCCGGATCAGTCAGAGACCCTGATCACTGGGGATACTGTCTAAACCAGTCATGGCAGCTGTAAAAAGTGCATAGTATCAAGTTTAAGTATTAATGTGAGCAGTTTTCTGCAGGGTAATATATTATCCACAGGGGGGCGCTCAGGCCTCACTTGTTCTGACTACTATGATCAGGTAGATGATGGAGGATGCAGAGTCATTTTACATAGGATAATGTTTTCTTTGCTTTGTGCTTTACCGGCCCAATGACTCTAGGATGACAGCGACCAGTGTCCACAGTGCAACAAGCAAGAAAGACACACAGACAGGCCAGGGCATGTGCAAACCCTTTGACTCTTGTGAGACACAGAGATTAATATCTTGGTTTATGTGTCTCGTTAATGTCTTCGGCTGGACCTCATTGTGTGCGCTTTGACGCAAGGCTTACCTGTCCTCTGATTTAACTCAAAGCTTTGGTACTATGAGAATAGGCAACACGGATTATGCTGATTATTTTAAGACTCTAATTTATCTCTTTTTTTTTTTTTACTTTAGTTGTTTTGATTTCCATCAACAAATTAAACAGTTTCAAGTATAGGCCTACAGATTATGGTGTGCCAAATGCTCCTTGTGTTTGAACAAATGTTTAAACTGTAAGGACTCCCTTGTATGATGCTTAAAGTCACAGTTCCCCACCTATTTACTTTTGTTTGTTTTTTTACATAAAGCCCCTACATGAGAGAGTAAACGTTTCTTTTGTTTTGTTTTTGTTTTTACAGAGGAATGTCTTTTCTCCTAAAATTGCAGGCCAGGGGATCAAACGTGGTCACTGGAGGAGCCTGACTTGTATGTCCACAAAGTATCCAAATGGCTGAATTCATACATCAGTTAGTTTCCCTGTGTATTTTTCCGCTTGGTTTACGTTTGGATTTGTCAAAGTTTCCAAGTCGTCGCTTCCCTGGTACGACTCAGTTTTGGAGAGCGACTGGCTACTTTGGTTTGAATCACGCTCACCAAAGGTGATCTGAAGCTGCTGCTGCACCTGCTCCTGTGGCTGTCCGCAGGTCACGTGCACGTACTGTACATTTTCATCCTGCTCATTCTCTCTGTGGTAGAAATAATTGAAATTTGAAACAATAACAGGGACAGGTAGAGCTATGGTAAGCACTCCGGCAATAGCGCACAAAGATCCAACGAATTTGCCTCCTATGGTGGAGGGACACATGTCTCCATATCCAACAGTGGTCATCGTCACCACAGCCCACCAAAACGCATCAGGAATACTTGAAAATCCAGACTCGGGGTCATCTGCCTCCGCGAAATAAACTGAACTGGAGAATAAAACGACTCCAATAATCAGGAAGAATATTAACAGTCCCAACTCCCTGAGGCTCGCGTGAAGTGTTTGGCCGAGAATCTGGAGACCCTTGGAGTGTCTGGAAAGTTTAAATATCCTGAAAACTCGGACCAGGCGGATAACCCTCAGGATGGCCAAAGACGCCGCTTGCTGACTGCTGCCCTGATGCTCAGCAAGATCAAGGCCCAGGGTGATAAAATAGGGAGCTATGGCCACAACATCGATCAGGTTCATGATGTTTTTAAAGAAAGCTGCTTTACTGGGACATGAGAGAAACCTCATGGTGAATTCAAAAGAGAACCACACAATGCAAAGTGTCTCCACCATGAAAAACGGGTCTGTGAACGGACTGGGCTCTTTGCCGTGCACACTCCCATTGGAGAGATTGTCTTGTACTGCAGGGACGTCTCTAAACTCTGGTAAGGTCTCCAAGCAGAATATGATAATTGATATTAAGATGACCATAACAGAGACAATGGCTATTATCCGTGCTGGTCCTGAGCTCTCAGGATACTCGAACAGGAGCCAAAACTGGCGCTGAAACTCGTTATTGGGCAGCGGGCGGTCATCTTCCTTCGTCAGGCCCTCGTCATCTCGGAACAGCTCAATGACCCCTTCCTCAAGTTCGTAAAATTTGATTTCCTCCAGGAAAATATCCACAGGAACACTAACGGGCCGCCGTAGCCGCCCTCCCGACTGGTAATAATAGAGGATGGCGTCAAAGCTCGGCCTGTTCCTGTCAAAGAAGTATTCATTTCTCAGCGGGTCAAAGAAACGAATCCTTTTACGCGGATCCCCCAAAAGCGTAGTCGGGAACCTGGAAAGGGTCTTTAATTGCGTCTCAAAACGCAGCCCCGATATGTTGATGACCACCCTCTCGCTGCACTCCTGGTCCGCTGGTTCCAGGTCAATAGCTTCTTGCAACAAAGGAGTAATGACCACTGTCTCATCGTGGTTCTCTTGGGACACCACGGTCATCTTTTTACCCCTAGGAGGGTAAAACTGTCACTCACCCCCTCGGTGCCTTCCTCTTGCCCTTTTGTCTGTAAGTCCTCCCAACTCCTTTCTCATGCAGCCGTCCAAGACAAGAAAAGTCCCCGTTTGATTTGTTGTTATCCTGAATCCGTCTCCTGTTGTTGATTTACAGCGTCCTTTTTCAGAGTAGAGCCTCTGAACTGTCAACTTTCAATGGTGTAGACAGATCCCCACTTGCATGCACTATACCGATGGCTATGGCTATCATATTCACACCATTTTAAACTCCAAAGCCCTCCCCAAGTTGGAAGACCAGATGACACTTGCTGTTGCTGCTGCTGTCCCTCTCACATTCACTCTACACTTCAGCAGTGCAGGGATTTCAGAATAAATATGCAGCCCTACATATGTCATTGTTTTAATCTTAATCCCTTTTGTAACTAACTCACATCAGAGTCCTCAGGCTTGTTTTGTTGGGAGCAAGGTCCGACAAGTTTTCCAGATCAAAAGTCAGCTTAGAAATGGAGTCTCTCCTGCAGGTCCCTCATTCATGAAATCATGGGGCTATTCTTGTCACAAGGGAAACCTCCAGGACCCAGCCCCGTGTCTACTTCTGGTCACAGCCCACAGTTTAAGAAATAGGGAGTAGAAACACAGGTGAAAAATAGACCGAAGTTTGTTAAGTTTATTGTGACTTTATTTTTTTCTGCAGCTACATTTTAAATTGGTCTTGAAATAAATAAGGGGAAATATCCTGGATGTCTGTGGCACTGAGTCTTGTATAACCATGGGACCATCCTGGACCAAGCCAGTGGAAACTGCTGTCTTGACTGACATTTGAGTAGCCAGAGTGTCTTCAGGGAGCAACAGCCAAAATAACAGTCACCGTTCAGAGCACTAAAAGGGCTCAATTGTACAAGTTGGAACATGGGAACCCCCGGAAGCCAAGCGACAAAGCCTTTGGGGTCACTGAGATACTGAGCAATTACTTCAGGTCTAATTAGTTAGTCCTTATCAGTCCCTGCAAGTCCTTTACAGTCTGGATAAAACAGAGCAATTCTATCCAACACCAGTTCAACGTCTACTTCCTTTCACGTACAGTTAGAAAATTCATAAATCCTGTGGAATGAAAAGATTTGGTCTCAGGGAAGTTATAGCTCAGTTTTGTCCTCCTATATTGCCTGACTTAATCACTTATGTCAGTCACATAGACACTGGAGCACAACAATAATAGCACAGAGGTGCTAATCAGTGTTGTTAAAACCAACCTGGATGGTTGGATTATTACAGTAATACGTACCGTAGTTGTTGTTACTGTTTTGCAGGTAAAACATGCCATACCAAACTGTTAATGTCAGAGAGGGGTTGTTTCTTGCTGTCAGGTTAACAAGCTAGGGTTCTCAGAGGGGCGCCATTTTTTTTGCCTTTCCATTACTGGACATAGTGTTGGATTTCAGCGTCAGATGTCAGTGTGAGGACACCATGCCGCCTGCTGCTAATGTGTTAGCATATAGCGTTCACCAAATGACTGTCTGGGTCAAGCCAAGGTGTCAGGCCTTTACCATATCCAAGGCAACAAACAATAACAAACAAGCTGAAGAATGGACACATGACTTTTATTTATGGGTACAACAAAAAAAAGAAACCTCAAAGAATTTTTAGCTTAGCTAGATATGTTGACATCTATTGTAACCTCATGTCACATTTAGAATTGATCAAAAATGTGTTTGTTCAGGGTTTTTTCTCGTATTGTGAGATTCAAAACCTTATTTCAGGTCATTATTTTTTCCATATCCTTATTATTCTAATGTTTTCAAATGAACGCTATACTCTGCTCCCATGTTGGGTTTTCTTGGTATAGTTTAGATTGTTGATATGTAGAGAGAGAGAGATGCATATATGTGAATACTTAACAGTGACTGCATGTAATGAGGCATAGCCTGGGAGTGCAGCTAAATGGCAAAAGCCTGCAGGGGGGAACTTCCCATTGTTATGAATGGCTTGACCTATGAATGCAGGAGACCCTCATGGTAACATGATACTGAGGATCCACTCAAAACAAAAAAAGGTCTGCTTTTCTTTTTTTCCACAACAACAATTATCAGTGAATGGGTAAGGAGCTAAGTGATCCCTAAAACGGTATTATCAGAATTCATACTGATTGTATGCCGGAAATAACATTGAACAAAAAGCATTCATTATGACAGAAAAAAATATTGATAATTGTGACGTAATTTCATAAAATTGAAAAGCATTGCTAATATACTTTGAAACAGCAATTATGTTTTTTTAAATAATTTCTCTCAAACAACAAATTTATGTTTGTTAGTTTTTTAAAAAGATTTTCACTTGATCTTGTGAGGCTTATTTTTTGTCAAGTGTAGACAGAATGACTTTCCTTCCTAACCCTAAAACAGACGTGAGGTAATCATAGTAGCAACTTGTGTGAGTGACTCCCCTTGGCTTTCCTTTTCTTAGACCCCAGGCCAAGAATTTACAAAGTGTGTGCTTATGTGTGTATTTCAGTAAGTGTTTATCTGAAGCTGCTATTAGTACGATTGGTGAATGAACACATGTGCATATCATGTTTATGTATGAGAGAGTGTGTTATAAATTGAAAGAGGTGTTTTCAGAAGGTCAGCCATGCTAGTCAACAGCTCCTTCAAATTACATCATTTTAGTTCCAACCACTCTGCTGGAAATGAAATAGGAGGGCATTTGACCCAGTCTGACGTATGCTCTGTAAGGGCGGTGATGACAGCGTCTCAGACATTGGAATGAGTCTATAAAGGTAGAGCTAAATCTGGGGAAGCCTCTGATTTGTGCTTCTCAACCTAGATCTTAAGGCTGGTAATAATTAATAATTTCACATAACATGTTACCAAAGCAAAACTTAGGACTGAAATGGGAGAATTGCTCAATAAGCAGGGTTTCATTTATGTTTTCTGTACAGCCAGGTTAAAGGTGAGTTGGCAAAATATATTCTACGGTACCATTATACAGTATTAATCTTGTCTGCAACCATATATCTTACTGTGGGCATCTGTAAGGATGTGAAGATGTTGAATTTTTACAATTTTTTAATTCAACATGATGACATGCTTTGATTCGGCAGGAATTTGAATGGCTGGATTAGCTCAAAACAGACAGGAGTGCCTGGTTATTTATATGCGTTAACAGAACTTTTAGTCCCAGGAACTTCTTTTTCTTGAATTAAAAAGGATCCTGATGTCAGGAATGGCATTGTGGTCAGGAGAGAGGAAGATTAGGCAAATAAATCTGTCTTTTTTTTAAAGCCATTGCTTTTTACACAAATCATTTTTGCTTGTGCCTAAGCAGAATGCAGCAGTGGCTGATTTTTTTGTGTATGAGACTAAAACAAAAAGCCTTGACTACTCAACCAGAAGGTTTAGTGCTTTAAGACCAACCCTCATGGTTCATGTACTTTAGCAAAGTACCGCTACCCCAAGTGTCCTTCCTTTTATGAGAGGAATAGTAATGCCCAACTAAACCCAATGTTGGGATGTTCCTTCAAAAGGTTTTAAAGAAGAATGTGCAACTCCTTGAGCCAGTAGATGTCTTATATGCTCTACTGCATCATTTTATGTAGAAGTAGAAAAACATTTTTTTTAATTTTTTTTTTATAAACACTATTTTGTTTTGTTATTTGAATCAATAAGACTCATCCCCAGATTAATGTGGGCAACAGTTAATTTTTAGAAAGGTTACATGCAATTTGTTGTTTCAGCATACTTAATTATGACTATGTTTGAATGTGGAGCAGGTCCAAACAGATTGTTTACATCTAGCTAATAATTCCTCGTATTTTAACCAGGACCCCTTTGTTTACAGGTATTGATATACAAAAAACAACAATTATTATTTTAATAAATGTATTGAATAACCATAACTTTGAGAGTAATTACTGTACATTATTTTTTTAACACAGAGTTGTGACCTTGCTATTAACTGATCGAGGACTTCTTCAGTTTGATTCAAAGCTTCTGTGTGATTCCTGTACTGCCATCACTTGTTACTTTTTCAGCTGACAGAATCTGATACATCTGCAATACGGTCATTTAGTCCAGTATTACCAGACACCTTGATGTCTTATGACCTGCAAAATACCATAACCAAAAGTGCTGATTTAGCATTTCTCTTTCTAAAGTTGAATGTATCGCTGTAACTGTAGGGGAATGTGACAGTGGTCGATTATGCATTGATAGTAAACACACCTTGAATCGTGTTACCTCACTAAAGCTGTTGGGGAACTTTGTATGGTTTACGGCACACATTTCAGCCTTCACTCACCAACCAGTGTATATGGCTGAGATGTGAGGAGCGTGTGCAGCTGCATCTAATTAATAGTGTGAAAGTTTTTGCCTAATAGACCCTAAGCTGTGTTTATGCCATCCCCATTACCCGCTGTGAGAGTGAGGAGTGTGCACAGCCCCTTCACCCTGAGGTGTCTGAACACAGGGCTTCCACTCTGGAAAGCGGACACCCCAGTGAAGCTCCTTGCCAGTTCCTGGGTTTTGATAGCCACCAATTTTAGCCTGCTGTCATCAGAAGTTGATGTTCATGTTTTTGCTGATAGGTAACGAGGCATGCAGCAAGAGATGAAACTGGATACCGCAGATCCGGAGGGCAGGGTCCTTTGGAATTACCTCTGAATGTCCAGTCCCTCGCCTACTTTGGATGATCATTTCACTCCTTGATCAAGCCTTTCCTTTTTTTAGTAGACAGTGGCGTCCAAAATCCATGCTGGGGGCATCTGCAGGGGGATCAGTTCACAGAAGAGCCGCTGGGTTAGAGCTGGGCTATAAATCAAGAGTGACTTCAAAGGTCTCAAACTTTTCCTGGTAACTTCATGTTTGATTCTTTGATTCTCAGATTCTATCTTCTTGGTATTTGGTTGTACACCTACCACAAGGCTGTCTGAGTTCCAGCTGACTTATATCAGTTAATGTGTGTGTGAGTGTGTGTGTGTGTGTGTGTGTGTGTGTGTACGCCCTCCCCATTCTTAATGTGCTGAGCCTTAATTAGAATATTTCCAGAACACAGGTATAAAAAT